GCTCTCTGTGAGTTGTTGGCCTACGCTAACAACTCTGGTGTCTCTTTGAGACACCAGGCCTGGACCTTTGGTGCTCCGTTCAGGTGATGTCAGAAGCAGGGGCAGAGACAGGTTCAGTGGCCTGGTTTCTGGGAAGGTTTTGGGCTTCTTTTATGGAGGTTGGCTGCTGATCCTTTCTCTTTCTTTGGAAACCAGGAACAGAATTCCTTAAGCTCACTTCTGCCTTGTATCCTCTTTCAGGCTTCCTCACCTTATAAGCCTGATTGGACCTTTTCAATCCTATGCTTTGATTGGACCATTTAATACCAATCAGCTCATTTATCACACCTGATGGCCCATTCTGTGATGCAGGCACCAAGTATAAAGGTCTGCTTGCACAGACCTAACCTGCTGTGATGTCAGGGCAGTATCATGGGCTGGTGGGCTATAAGGTGCTACTGCCAGAGCCAGCCGCAGTGCAGGGAGGCACTCTGCACCCAGTAGCCCTTCACTGGGGCTGGGTGTAATGATGTAGAAAGTGGGGAGTGTGGTGGAGCTGGGTAGGAAACCAACACTGTTGCTGCCCCTGCCTTCAGCATCAGGTGCTGCTGCCTAGGCGGTGGGCCATGGCAAAGCTGGTCAAGCTGTGGGGCTCTGGTTTCACTTTCTCTGGCAGATGAATATTTGGGATGTTCCTGGTTCTTTTCTGTTGTGAACAGAGCCACTGTGGACGGCCACACATGTGTCTTTCAGGGCCTATGTTCACCATTCACCATGTCTCTTGGGTCTTTACTTAGGAGTGAAATGCTGGGTGGTATAGCATCCAGTCTGGACTCTACCCTCTGTACCACACTGCCGCTCAAACGGCACAGCAGGCCAGAGAGGTAGCACTATTATCCCATTTCACAGAAGGGGAAAAAGGCTGAGAGGTGTTGAGTGGCTTATCTGAGATGACTTGGTGTAATGGCAGGAATGACACAGGGCAGAATCTCTATGATCCGAGCAGATGGGGTAAGGAGAAGACCTGGAGCCCTCAGTGGCTTTTCAGGCTCTTATTGGGATTTATCAGGTACATGGCAGGTACGGGTGCTGAACATCCCCTGCCAGGCCTCCCAGCCCCCAGCAAGTTTACGCTCTGTCTGGGCTCTCCAGCGTTCTCTGGTGGTCTCTGCTTCTCTTTCGGTCTCTTTTTCTCTGCTTCTCTGCTCTCTTCTCTCATGGTTCTGCTTCTCCTGGTGTCCCCGTGATGCTGTCCTTATAAGCCTAGTCTTAGCTCAGGTGAATCCCATCTCCACATGCCCACACCCCACTACAGGTGCCCGCCATCAGGCATGCATTCAGGACCACAAGGATCCATCATCAGTCCTAATGGCGGGAGGGCAGAAAAGCCTAATATCATTTTTACCTTACCCTACACTTGGCTAACAGGTGCTGAGTTGGAACCTAGGGCTTTGGCCCTGAGCTGGGTGACCCATTTAGTGAGTGGTGATTTCACTGGTGTGAGGGGCTTTGACCCTCGGTTTGATTAAGACCTTGGTGGGTCTTAATCTTGGTGGGTTTGATTAAGACCTTGGTGACTGACCCTGTGTGTGAAATTTGGTCCTTCCCTGGGGCTTAAGTTCTACTGGACTGGAAGTGCTGGCAGCAGTGGGAGAAAAGGTGGAGGGTAAAAGTGAATTTGAGGTCATGAAAGAAAGGCCAAATTATACTCCGGGAAGATGGCAGGTTTCAAGTTTCAAGTGGGCTCTGTGGGACCTCAGGGTCCCTCAGAGGCAGGTTGGAAGTCTCCTTGGGAGCAGGAGCACATCTGTGGTTGGTAGTGTCTGCAAGTTCACGGTTTTCCCCTGTTGGTGTAGTTTAAGTGTTTTTGTGGATGTATAACAGCCAGATGACTGCAGAAGCCATCCTTCTGGCCACACACAGAAGACATACCCCTCTCACTCAGGAATCATAGTTTTGAATTTGTAGGAGTATACCCTCAAATGTCATGAAAGAGGGAACCTCATAAAAAATTCAGTTGGCGTGGACTCCCGGAACCCAGCAAATCTGGCTGGTTTGTGTAGACTTGCCCCAACACCTGAATCTTACCATCGTGGTCTCCGAATTTTACACCATTTGGTGCTTGGCGTCTCATCTCTGTTTAGCAGACTGATCTCCCATGGAGGCTCCACATTCCTGTGTCCAGCAGTGCAGCCCTCCCCGCGCGTGCCTGCCAGGTGTAGGTGTTATCTGTAAATGATTGCTCATTCTTCTCTGGCTATCTCTGACCACTGAGGTCACATGTCTTGCCACTTGTTTCACCACTTGTGGATTCGCCCCACTGCAGAGGCTCTCCACTGGTAGCAATTCTGCTCCCCTCCCCCTGGGACATGTGGCCACGTCTGCAGAAATTTTTGCTTGTCACAACCATGAGCTTGGGTGGGCGGGGGTGGAGGTCAGGGAAGCGGGTCAGCATCCCGCAAAGCTCGGCAAGGCCCTCACAGCAAGATAATATCAGGCCCAAAGCATCAATAGCACTGAAGCTGGGAGACCCTCTGCACTGTGAATTATTGGAAGATTATTTGTCTTTAAAAGAAAATTATTTTAGAGATGTTCTTGAATTATAATTGATATTAGCTCTTTATCTCTTATCTGCATTGCAAATATTTCCCTCCAAATCTATCCTTTTGTATGGTTTATTTTTGCCACATATGCAAAAATTAATTAGGTCAAATGTGTGTTTCCTTTTTATTAAAGTCTCTGAATTTCCTGTTATGGTCGACAGTTTAGTGCACATGAATTTCTATTTCTGCGTCTGTTGAGGTTTTTATTGTTCTATCCATTAGACTTTTAATCCATCTGGAATTAATTTTTATGAATGGTGTGAGGTAAGGATCCAATACATCTTTTTTCATGTGGCAAGTCAGTTGGGTTTTCACTTTATTTTAAATTTACTATCCTTTACTGCTGAATAAAACCCCACCTCTGTCGTGTATTAATTTGTGCACACACACACACACACCCCACTCTGGGAATCTTCCTTTTCCCCAGTGATACGTGTCCATCTTAATACCATCAGATCTGATTCCCCTGCTTTCTGGTTTGTAGACCACAAAGGCCATTTGTCACTTTTATTATTTTTTTCTCTTTAAGTAACTTTTGGGCTCAATTTCTGACATTTCTTCTTTTTATTCATTCTTAGGTCCCAAAATAAAACACGGGACTCTCCCTTCTTCTCATTTGGGCCACACTGCCCTGCTTTCTGTCTCTGTAGCACTTTCGCCCCGTATGGTAATGAGGGATGTTATGTGGCCATTGGTGGGGTCCCCCCCCATCACTGCCAGCCTGGGCTGTTCTGTGTCCCCAGCAGGGACATGGTGCCTGGTGTGTAGCCAGTCAGGGTTCATTAGTTATTGGCTAATGAGTAATGCAGAATTTTTAAAAATGAAAACTAGTTTTGGCTCTTGTGTTGTTTTGGAACAAGGTGGTCAGAGGTTGACATAGTCTTTGTCATGGCCAATGTGTGGCCTTGGACAATTGCATCTCTCCTTTGCCTCAGTTTTTTTACCCTTTTTACCCAAAAGACCCAGGGATCCCCGACCTCCTTCTCTCATGTGGCTGGGATTCTGAGAGGGATGAGGAGTTCTTGGGGGGGAAGGCACCACACAGTTCAGAATACCAGGCAAGTTCATCCATCCAGTGGACATAGTGCTGGGGACCCTGATAATTTTAAGGATTCAAGAAAATCTTCTACTTTCCTTTCTCAGGAGGAAAAAAGAACATTTAGGTAGAAAGAAATGTCTTTAGGGGCCTCCCTGGTGGCGCAAGGGGTTAAGCACAGCACTGTGAAGCTATTCGCAGTCTCTGCAGCACGAGTTCAATCTCCTGCCGGCCAGGGAGCTACCCACATGGCGCACCTGACCGCTCCTCTCGCGCCCGCTGCTCCCCTCAGCAGTGTGTTTCAATCAGTCTGCCTGTTCTGTTTCCCACTCTGTCTCTGGCCTATACCCCAGTTCTTGTATGCATAAATAAATAAATCTTAAAAAAAAGAAATGTCTTTATATCTAACAATACACTCATCTTTATACAAATGCAATCATAAAATCTAATCATAAGCATCTTTTTAGTGGAGGAAGGGCCCATGAAGGCAAGACTGGCAAAGGCCCGTGAAAATCTAAATGTGCCTGTGACCATGGATTAGTGAAGTGTAATTGGTCCTAGGAGCATGACAAGCCCAGGCAGGCTAGAAGTGTAGGAGGAAGAAAAGAAAGCAGCCACTTGTCCGGATGTTGGCAGAGATAAGGACACGTGAATGAAGATGGGCTTGGGAGATTCCCTTTCCCTCCATTGCTCAGGCCCACTGAGCAAATCAGGTTCTGAGTTGGCCCCACAGAGTGGAAAACGACAGCTGCCAGAGAGATCTGAGTTCCAGACCTGGCTGTACTTCATGCTACCTCAGTGACCTTGGACTTGTCAATCTGTGGGAGCCTCGATTTCCTCATTTGGAAAACTAACACTCACACCTTCACTGGGCTCTTTGGTCACTCGAGCGGTCATTCAGCACATGTTTATGGAGCATCTGCTGAATTCACACAGTAGTGCGCTCCAGCACGTCCGTCCCACTGGCTGGCTCATAGCAGGTGCTTATTAAACATTTGTTGGATGACTATTTGGAAAACAGGCCAGCAGGGGAGGGGGTGAAGAGGGTGTCAAAATAAATAAGTGAATTCATATGTAATTCACAGAAAATGATGAACATAAATATATCAAATGTAAAAAAGGTATAATTACAAAGAAGGAAGGTGCTGGGAAGGAAAAGAACAGGACACCTTGACAGAGAAAATGACCGGGGGTGGAGGGTGAGGAGGGGGGTAGGGAGATGGAGTGTTGAGGGTGGGCTTCTGTGAGGAGGTGACATTGAAGCGAGGACCTGAAGTATGAGGGTGAGAGATTGACGGGCCTGGGGAACGTGGTGGGTGGGGAGGGTGAGGTGGGTGGTCCCCTCCCTGTGTCCTCCTCCAGCTGGTGCCCGGGTGTTGCAGGCATCCAGCCGGCGCTCTGGAGCAGGGAGGACGTGGTGCACTGGCTGCGCTGGGCGGAGCAGGAGTACTCTCTGCAGCCTACCGGGGAGCACGGGTTCGAGATGAATGGCCGCGCCCTCTGCATCCTCACCAAGGATGACTTCCGGCTCCGCGCCCCGAGTTCAGGTCTGGGAAACTCATTGGCTTTGTCTGAAACACTGGAATGGAACGTTGGATGGAAACTCAGAGGCTCAGGGAGGGAGATGGAGGCTCAGGGAGATGGAGGTGAGCCCCTCTTTGGGGGGGGATCGTGCTCACCCACAGGCACTGCCGACACCCCTCCCTCTATAGAGGGTGCTCTGGTGATTCTTAGCTCAGGCCACCTGCAGTGAAGGGGGTCAGCTTGTCTGCAAGGCTTTGGAGCTGCGGGCCTGCTGCCCTCTCTGGCTTGCCTTGGCCTCCGGTGGCCCGTGTCTCCCCTACCCATTGCCACTCCATCCGCGCTCTGCTGTGACAGGCCATGCCTGCTCTCACCTGGGGGACAGCTGAAGGTGGGGGACCTCTGTGCCAGTCCCCTTGTCCCCCACCTCTCCTCAGCAGCCGGCCCTCTGCCTCCACCCCTAGGTGATGTCCTGTATGAGCTGCTCCAGTACATCAAGACCCAGCGGCGAGCCCTGGTGTGTGGACCTTTTTTTGGAGGGGCCTTCAGACAGAGGGTGCCCATGGGGCACTTCCCCTGCACCCTGGAAGGTAAGGAGGCTGGCATCAGAGACTGTCCCCCAAATCTACTTCCTCGGCGGGGTCTCCTCAGGCAAAGTAATGGGGGAGGCAGAGGTGTGTATGGGCTCCCCAACTCCTGCCTGCCTCTTCACCCTCACCTTGTGCCCTCTGGGACACTCCTGGCAGCCTTGGGTCTGCAGGTGTCTCATCTCCCTTTGCTCTGCTCTCCCTTGCTGCAAAGAGTTGTCTGGCAGGTGTCACGTTGCCTCTCCCCCTGCCCTGCCGTCTCCCCTACTGCTGCATTTGTCAGGGTCTCCAGGGACCAGAGCATAGAGGTGTCCACACCCACGGTCACCTCTTACTCACCATCACTCTTGCAGACCTCAAGCCAGGGCATCACCTCCCTCAAATCCCTTCTTCCCTTGGCTTCCAGAACACCCCCCAAATCACTCCTCAGTCTCCTAGTTTCTCCTTTTCTCCCCTACTTCTAAATGTTGGGGCCACCCAGAACTCAGGGACCTCTTCTCTGCACTTAGACCCTGAGTGATTTCATCTAGTCTTGGGTGTTAAATACCATCTAGTGCTGATAACTCCTGTACGTACCTGGGCCTCTTGGATCCAGACGTGCCTCCACCAAGATGACTGATGGGCATCTTCACCCTATTAGCTTCACCCTATTAGCAGCTGCCTGATATCCATCCCATCCCTCTCTCCCAACCCCGCTCCTCTCCAGTTTGCTGTCTCTCAAACTGCTGCCCCATCCTTCCAAATGTTCAGGCCAAAATGCTGGGGGTCCTCTGTGATTGCTTTCTCTCCCACCCTCATCCCACCTGCACACATCCTGTTGGTGCCACCTTCCAGATCACCCAGAATCCCACCATTTCACACACCTCCACTGCTTCCCAGGACCCACCCCCATCACTTCTGGAGAAACTCCTCACTACTCTCATTGCCCTGTCCGTAACCTCCTAAGATCTCTTCTCGGCAGGGCAGCAAGAGAGATTCCTAAGTCAAATCATGTCACTTCTCTGCTCAAAATCTTCTAGTAGCTCCCACCTTATTCAAAACTACCATCCTCACAGGGACATCCCGGCCCTGCACCCTCCAACCCCATGGCTTCCTTCTTCATTGAACAAGCAGAGACTTTCCTGTCTCAGGGCCTTTGCACCTGCTGTTCCCTCTGCCTGACCTCACAGCTCACTTGTCTACTTCCTGCGGTGTCTGTTCAGATATGAACACGTCAGTGAGGCATGCCTAAAATGCAACCCTTGTGCTCCCTGTCTAACTTATGGTGCTTCAGCCTCCCTGCCCCCCTGCATGCTGCTCCTATTTCCCCGTTTATTTTAGCCATCTATCTCCCTTCCTCACTTTCTGCCCCCAACTAGAATATAAGTTCCATGAGAACAGGACCCTTTGTAGGGTCGGTGAAATGTCCCCATGAGGCTCATAGAAGGTTCTCAGTGAATAACTATTGGGTGGATGGTGAGGAGGTTGGACTGAGAATCAGGGCAATTGGGTTTCTGGACCTGCTTTGTCATCCCCTGGCTTTGGGAACAATTTTATAGATGAGGGAGCAGGTTTGAGAGGCTGAGTTTCTTCTCTGGGAGCTGGGGTTAGCACCTGGACTGCTGGCCCTCACCCTCTGCCCTCCCTGACCTTCTAACCAGGGGCTGGATGGAGGGAGAGTATTAGAGAAGCGCTGCTCCCGCCCCTCCTGGGCTCCCAGGCATGTCATTGAGGGGCTCTGGGTGGGCAGAGACTCTGGGTCCACAGAATCAACATCTGCTTGCAGAGGGGACTGGGCCCTCTCAAGTGGCCTCCCAAAGGGGCCTCCTGCAGCAGCCGCCAGACCTGGGACTTGCCAGCAACTTGAGCCACCTGGATGCCCCTGGCCTGGCCCGGTGGCCCCTCGCCAAGGAGGACTCCCTCACCTTATCTCACTGTGCAGAGCTGGGCAGCAGGACTGAGGGAGCCTGCTCCTTCCCTACGGTGCCACAGAGCCCCATCGATGGCAGGATCGCAGGTGAGTAGGGAGTTGTGTTGCCCCCCTGGAGGGAGGTGTGCTAAGGCCAGGTCCTGGAGGAGTCATGGGTGATGAAGATGAGGGTGATTTTGATCTAGAGAATGAGAAGGTGCCGGGGAGACTGACCTGTGTGGGCCACAAGGGGCAGCGCTGCAAGGGATCGCCACACCCAGCCCCTCTCCAGAGGACAGAGGGAGATGGTCAGATGGCTGTACAGCTCCCCTCCTTTAAACCTCTTTTTTTTTTTTTTAAAGATTTATTTATTTATTTATATAAGCACTGGGTACAGTCAGAAGCGCAGGAGGGTGAGAGAATTCACCAGAGCCAGAGCGGGGAGCAGAGCAGGCAGACAGACAGAGGACACTGCTGAAGGGAGCAGCGGGCAGCGGGAAAGGTCTGCGCGCCATGTGGGACCCTCTCCCTGTGGCTGGGGATGGAACCGGCGCTGCAGAGGCTGCGGGCAGCTTCGCAGCCCAGTGCTCAACTGCTGCGCCACCAGGGAGGCCCCTTTAAACCTCTTTGTACACAGTCAAATGCTTATTATGTGCAAGCAAGCCTGCTTTGAAGGTGTTAATCCCATAGCCACCCTCTGAGGTTGGCATATGATCATTCCCATTTTACAGATGAGGAAAATGAGGCACAGAGAGGTTAATCACACAGCAAGATCACACAGCAGTAAGTGGTGGAGTTGAGATGTGAATCTGACTTCAGGGCCTGAACACTGAACCCCCTTGTACTCTGCATTCACTGTTAAAGGATTGACTATTAGACAGACAACCAGATAGACAGGCTGATAAACTCCCTTCCTTTCCAAAAGGTGTTTTCTAGCGGTGACAGGGCCACTGAATTTATTCAAAGACAATACAGGGGATGCAGAAGCCTGGCTTCTGGGTTAGAATCTACTGGGAATCAATAAAACACAACTATTTGATCTTTTTAATATTGATACTTAACATCCTTGAATGTTTAGTCAGTACCAGACACTGTGCTCAGGTATTTTTGTCTTTTCTGCTACTTAATCCTCATGTCACCCAGTGTGAGGAAACTGGCTTGAGAGAGACTGAGTGGCCTGACCAGAACCAACAGCCGAGCAACTCAGGTCAGGAGAATTAAGGACTTGCTCCCAGGCTCTCCTCTGCTGCTTGGCTCCAGAGGATGGATGTCACAGCCCTGACTGAACGGCTCCAGGGGGGCTGAATGACTGGGCAGGGCCAGAGAAGGATCTGGAGGCAGGATCTCCGGCCACTGCCCTCTGCCCCAATGCCTGCCCCTGAGCGGAGCGCGCTGTTTGGCTTCAGTGTTGGGCAGAGCTGCCTGTCACTTAGGAGCTGGACAAGTTGGGCTATGTCCTAGTGTGTACTTCTTTGAAGCCAGCCCTCATCTCTTCCTGGAGATAAAGATAGATTTCTCAGCCACCTCCAGGATTAGGATGATCAAATGAGACAATGGTGAGGACCCCAGGGAGTGGCTGTTTACTTAATACCAGGATCCTCTTCCCCTTCCTGATCTGGGCTTGGCTTCGAGGGCCCCAGAGCTGCGTTCCTGTCCTCACAGCTCCAGGAAAGCGCCCGTCCGCACCCCCTCTGCTCACTTGCAGACTGCAGGCTGCTGTGGGATTATGTGTACCAGCTGCTCTCTGATGCCCGGTACGAGCCCTACATCAGATGGGAAGACAAGAATGCCAAGATCTTCCGAGTTGTGGACCCAAATGGGCTCGCCAGACTCTGGGGAAACCACAAGGTGAGGCTCAGCCAACAGGCGGGAGCATTTGCAGAGGAGACAGGGGCGGGTGGGCAGAGTGAAGCCTTAGCACTAGGGTGAAGCCCCTCTGCTGATGGAGAATCTCAGGATGGTTTTATTTTGGAGATCCTCAAGGATAGGCAGTTTCCTAAATGGGGGTCTGCCAGGGGACTTAGGTGGTTGGCTCCAAATTTTAAAAATTAAGTATTTGTTTTTAGTAAGAATTAAGATGAAAAATGTAACTGTCCTATCAATCTCATGATTTACCATGGTGATATTCAGCAAGTGTCCTTCCAAAAATTTGTCTATATTAGAAAACTATTAGCAATAATGATCATCTGCAATATACAGCATTTCCTAAAGTGGTAGGACATTTCGTTGCCTGGCCCCACTCTGAGGGATTTGCCTGTGTCCACTCACTTATCCTATCAAATGCCTTGTGAGGTAGGTATTATCAGATGGGGAAACTGATGCAAAGGATGGCTTATCAGCTTGTCCAAGAATTTGAAGCCAGTAGGTAGCAGGTCAGGATCTAGACCCCAGACCTTGTAATTCTATTATTTTTGTTGCCTTTCAGTAGCGCTGGTGACTAGTTTGGGAGTGTTGTTCTGGTCCAGTTCCTGTACAGTTCAGTAACTCCATTTAATGAGCACATACTGCATGCCAAACCCTTGCTAAGAGCTCTCCAGGATTAGCTAATTTAGTCCTCACAATGAACCTGTGAGATGCGTGTTTTATCCATGTTTATATAGCTGGGGAAACTGGTTCTGAGAGGTAAAGAAACTAATTCAAGGTCACACAGCTGCCAAATGGTGGACCTGGGACTTAAATGGACACCAAAGCCCAGTCTCTTTTTCCCTACTCTACACTGCCCATCCTCCCAGACAGAGAAATAAAGTCCCATATTTGGTGGCAAGGCCTTCACCCCTCCTCTACCCCCATAAGCTATCTCTGGGGTTGGGTTTTAGACCGAATATATATATATATATATATGTTTTTTTTAAAAGATTTAATTATTTATTTATACAAGAACCGGGGTACAGGCCAGATGCGCAGGAGGGTGAGAGGATTCACCAGAGACAGAGCGGGGAACAGAACAGGCAGACTGATGAAATACACTGCTGAGGGGAGCAGCGGGCACGACAGGAGAGGTCTACAGCGCCATTTGGGACTCTTGCCGGCTGGCGGGGATTAAACCTGAGCTGCTGAGGCTGTGGACAGCTTCACAGAACGGCACTCAACTACCTTTGCCACCAGGGGAGGCCCCAATATATATTTATTTGTTACCACTTGTGACACTCGCTATTTAAAAGCAACATGTGATTGCCTCGGCCCCCTGGTTCTCAGCCAGGGAGGTGAGAGAACCATCCCATTATTTACAACCCCCTATACCCCACCCTTCCCTGCCTTTCTACTTCCAAAATCAAGAGAATGTTCTTTAAACCCTCACAGAATCCTGGGCTGAGGGGTTTAAGAAACCATCCAGTCCAGCTTGCTCCTTTCCAGGTGTGGAAACTGAGGCCAGGTGGGGGTGACATGGGGCTGCTTTGCCTTGCAGAACCGGGTGAACATGACTTATGAAAAGATGTCACGTGCTCTGCGCCACTACTATAAGCTGAACATCATTAAGAAGGAACCTGGGCAGAAACTCCTGTTTAGGTGAGTAGCCTATGGGTCAAGGTGAAAGGGGAAGCAGGGTTGGGGGAGCTGGAGGCCCCTTTGGTGAGGCTGATTTGCAGCTGGGGCCTCAATTGCAGATTTCTGAAGACCCCTGGGAAGATCAACCAGGACAAGGGCAGCCGCCTGGAGCAGCTGGAGAGCCAGGGGCAAGGCAGGGTGGACTTCAAGGAGGAGATGCTGGAAGTCTCCCCGTGAGAAGCAGGTGGACTCTGGACTCCTGGCATCGAAGAGGCAGTGACTGTCTCCCATGAAGGCAGCTAGCTGGGTGGTGGCCTCCTGGTCCGCGGCACTCCTTTCTCCTCCCAGGCCAGCAGGGATTTGCACTCAGGAACACGGCTGTTGTCTCAGGCCTCACAGCTGCCCAGGGCTGGGTAGAGCTGCGAGCAGGTGGCCTTACGTCATATTGCTGGGTAGGGGGCCTTGTGCTTTGGGTTGGGCACCCCTGAGGCTATGTGGGGCACAGAGTGTGCACCTCTCCCTGTCCTACCTGCCTTATCTACCCACATGGACTCTAAGAGACCACCCAGCCCAATCTCTTCAACTTACAGAAGATGGAAGCAGAGACCCCTCACTGAGCCTCAGCTTTCCTCAAGGGGCGTACTCAGGAAAACTCACAGTTGGGGGGCTGCTGCAGGAAATGGAAAAAAGGAGAACTACTAACTGATACTGAGGTGCTTACTGTGTGCTAGGCCTGTGCTAAGGTCCTACCTGTATTTTATCTCCTTTAACTCCCACACCGAGCCTGAGGTTTAAAGAAGGGGAAACCGAGGTTTGCTGAGCCGGATGCCTCTCCACAACCCTGTGCTGTTTCCTGTTTTCTTTGATGAAATGTACAGTTGACCCTTGAACAACTTGGGAGTCGAGGGGGCTGACCTCCTGTGGAGTCAGAAATCTGTGCCTAACTTGACTCTCCCAAACTTAACTACTAATAACCTGCTGTTGAGTGGACACCTGACCCACCACATGAGCAGTGGATTTATGCATAGGTTGTATATTCTAGGTACTGTGTACTGTATTCTTACAATAAAGTAGGCTACAGAAAAGAAAATATTACTAAGAAAATGCTGAGGAAGAGAAAATACACCACACTGTATTTACCACACTGTGCTTTTATGTCGCTGCGTACCAGAAAATCTGTGTATAGGTGGACTTCTGCTGTTCAGACTCTCTTGTTCAAGGGTCAACGGGATGGGGCACTTCTCAAGCAGAGGCCCTGGCCCTACCTTGCTGTCCTCTCTGTCCCTCCTGGACGATTGATTTTATTTAGTCCCATGGCCTTGTCCTCAGTCTCCATCCTGTGGTCCTGTGACTGACCCCGTGTAGATCACCTAGCTGCTCCCAGCCCCCTGAGCGCCTCTCCAGTATCTGCTGGGGCCCAGGCACACGCTCCACCTCTCGGGGGCCTCAGGCTTCTCCCCTGTAGAATGGGGATGCTACTCCTGAACTGACCTCACGGGGCTGCCAGAAGCTCCTGTAAGTCCATGTTTGTAAAGTGGTCAGTAAGGAGCACTGAACTCATGTTACCCAAGAAAACCCTGCAAACCAGAAGCTGCTCTCAAGAGGCATCTCCTGCCTGCTTCCCAAGTACTCCCGAGGAGTGAGAACCTGTCCCCTTGCTGACCTTGCAATCCCCAGGTAAGGTTAGGGGTGAAAGGGAAGGGAGTGTTTTCACTTCATTGAAAATAGAACTTCTTGGATTCGCATCTTCTTTCTTGGGAGGAAACCACCTTTGCCTTTTGCCTCTAGCAGGTCAGGAAACCCCCTCTTGGCTGAAACCAGCTGGCCTTGAGTCACTTTCTATCAGAAGCTGATAAAGGTTCTTGGACTTTGGGACACAAATGTGACCGCTCATGAGCAGGGAAACTCCGGCTTAGTCTCATCCAGGGCCCTTGATGATCCCACACCAGAAGGGGCCAGGAATGTGGCCTTGGAAAAAAAGGCTCAGTAGAATAATCCTTGACTCCTTCTATCTCCGTGGAGACTTTTCCATCTCTTTGGCTTTGCTCCACGATGGCCCCATGCTACATAGCTGTTTCTCATCCAACCCAGAACTACAAAACTGGACTGGGAAGGAGGAAATCAACTTGTCAAGCCTTTCCTTTTATACATAAGGAATCTGAGACCAGATAGGGGAAGTGACTTGCCCAAGGTCACACGGCCCAACTCAGCCTGCTGACCTTTAATGTTGTCTGTTTTTTTTCTTGTCTCATACTTTGTTCATGGATCCAAGATGCAGAGATTTTAACAAGAGGGTGTAGTCATAAATCACTCCTTCCAGGTGTGACCTTGGTGTTTGCCTGGTGGGGTGTTAGTGATGGTCAGTGGCCAGGTGTCTCAGGACTGTGTCTTCACCCAGGTCAATGCCTCTCACTGGGATCATCGAGGTCAAGGGTCTCCACTCAGCCCTGGAGTGAACCCCACCCATTCCCATCTCCTTGGGCACATTCAGACCTGGTTGGGATGGGCACTGTGGTGCCAGGAGTAAAGGGGTTCACTCAGCCCTTCCACAAGCATTAATCAAGTCCTTGGCGCCAGGTGAGGATCTGAGTTTATAGCCATACTCGACAGTTATTCCTGAAAAGTGGTGGGTTGCTAAAAACTATGTCAAAATGGACTTCCTCACAAATAATACTTTTACAAGGAGGAAATACATGGTCATCGTTTGAGAAAATAGGCATTTGTGCCCTTCCTCCGATTACATTAATGTCAACAATAAATACAGAGCTTATTTTTAAGAAAGTGATTGTATCGATAAGGTCACTCATGAAATAAGGGGTACAAGTCACCGTCTCCAGCCAGCCACCATTCACAGTATTAGCCCGGGAGAGCAGGGTCCGCTATTCCCCATCTTCTTCATTATATGGACTCAGCTGGGCGAGTCATCCTCTCTCACGGTAAGTCCCAATTTAGCATCCTTTGCCCGCAGATGTATCGAGAAATGATTGACATCTAACATTACTATAGTTTAAGGGTTACAACATCTGGCACCTTCTGTAATCCTGGAGGCCCTGCCACATCATGGGCTGGTCCTCAGGGCCCTGGGCTGTGGTCACAATCCCTCCTCACCTCTCTCCCACCCCACCCTCCCTGCTTGCAGAGAGAGGAGTGCCTATTGGGGACAGTGGTGGGGGGCCAGTGGCACTAAGAATCCCCCTTTGGGAGGCACCAGAGAGTGTCCCTAAGGAGGATGTAAGGGCTTCTGCTCTGTTTTTCTCCGCTCCTTGTGGAGACGTGAGATCTGGAGGGATGGGGGCTGTGCGCCTTTGATCCCAGGGGTCAGGGAGAAGCAGAGGACAGGGCATACAGAGCAGGCCTGACTGCAGAGGGAGGACAAAGCAGTACCGATGCTCACGCTCTGGTCTGCCTGGCTCACTATGGTCAGGAAAGTAGATAGATCCAGACAGACCCTCAGGAAGGTGAGGAGGGCGCCTACCGGGAGAGGGTCTGTCGTGCGTCTGACCCATGAGGAGTAGCAGGGTCAACAACACCAACTGCACTAACGGGATGCTGTGAGGAAGGAAAAAAGCACTTGAAGTTAGCCCATGAGCTATGCACCCCACACACTTGACCAAGCAGCACGACCAAACCAGGCTCGTGGGTTCTCTTCACAGGAGCCTGGTTGACCTCTGGCACCCAAGGCTAGGCGTGAGATGAACTGTGGGTTCAGACCATGTCCTTTTCTCAGAAATGAAGTGAAACGGGAAGGGGAAAAGGCCAGAAGAGCTGCTGCCTGGGACAGGGCTCAGCGAGCGCCCACGTGTGGTTCCCTGGGGGCTGCTAAACCCTGGTTTCACCTCCCAGAGCAGAAAGTCTGGGCTGGGATCAGAGTTTATTTTGGTATTTTAGGAGGGCTGAGCGAAGCCCAGCATTTACCTGGTGGGACCTGAACTTTCCAGTACCTTCATTTTTGCTTGAATGAAATGGACTCTGTGTGGCTGGGCTAACAGGTGAAACTCAGCAAGGCTTCTAACTGGCACTTGCAAAGGCCTTTGATGAGAATAATGATGTAATAAGATTAACATACACCAAAGATATAAAATATAATGCAAATATGCCCCTGTTAGACACATCTTTCAGAATATGATGTCCATGGGATAAACACAAAGGGTTGGGCGGGGAGTGTTGGGTTTTTTTGTTTGGTTTTTGGTGGTTTCATGGAGGTCCATGCAGAATTGAGCTTAGTTGGAAACTCAGTTATCTCTGGGTGAACACAAAAATTCAGGCTGACTTCCAAATACAAAGACTAAATAAATGAGTCTCCTCCTGCCCTCCCATGGCAGCTTCACAGTTTATCCCAGGAATCTGGAATAAAGTTTGGGGGGGATGTGTCTACTCCAGCCCTAGGACATGCCTCAGCACTCCCTGAATCCTATGAACAAATCCTCCCTGTAATAATGATCTCTCTGAATCCTGCTGGTGCTTAGCCCAGTGCAGGGGTCCTGCTAAGCTGTCTGAAACGGGTGCACGTCCTTGAAAAATTGCTGGAGCCTCTGTTCTGACTTCTCTTCTGGGGTCGTGAAGCCATCTCGCCCGGGAAAGACTGCAGTTTGAAGCTCTGTCCACCAGGTGGCGCAAAAGCCTCTTCTGTGTTGATGGTGTCGCTCCCTCCCCTCCCCACTTTCTCTCTAATGCTCCCTTCTCTCTAATGCAGCAGGTCTGCCTCCTCCTACTAGAGTGTGAGCACAGCTGTCCAGCTCAGGCATGTTCCAGAAGTAGCCTTGGCGGCTCTGCTTGAGCATTTCAGTGAGGTGGCGCTCATCACGGCAGGGGACAGTAGCAGGTGTGGGGAGGTGTGTGTGGTTGGGGGGCGGGTGTCAGGGTTATCGAAAGCTACTTCTTTCTCTCCCAACCCAGAGGCTACTGGTAAATTGGGAAATTTCTGTTTTCCCAGTTATTTGTTGGTAATAAGTTCTTTCTTTTTCTTATCACCTTATCTCTAAGTAGTTCATCAAATTTCTGAACAGAAGTCCAGTTGAGTCCTTTTACTGGAACACAGGCCTGGGCATGTCTAAAGGTTCTCCCCTGGCCCCCCTCGGACTCCCCCCCATCCCCACAGAGCCCCTGATTAAGAATAAAAAAGGCAGGCTCTCTTAGTTCCCTCAGGGCTTTCCTGAAATCAACTTTCTGGGCCTCAGTTTCTACATCTGTGAAATGAATAACAGAGTCTTTTGCCCTTCTTGCCCCATTAAATTGTTGAGAAACTTCATTTGAAATAATGAAGTCATTTACTTAACAGCTTGTTGAGCATTTCACATATGCTAGGCACTGTTCTAGAACAAGGGAATACAGATAAATGAACAATAAATACAGCGTATGATGTCAGTGGTGATAAGTGCCACGAAGGAAAATGAGAGTCAAGTGACAGGGCTGATTTTATTTTAATTTTTTAAAAAAGATTTATTTATTTATGCATACAAGAGCAGGGGTGCAGGCCAGAGGTGTAGAAGGTGAGAGGGTTCACCAGAGACAGAGTGGGGAACAGAACAGGCAGACTGATTGAAATACACTGCTGAGGGGAGCAGCGTGTGAGCCAAGAGATGTCTGCTGCACCATGTGGGTAGCTCCCTGGCTGGGGATGGAACTCGTGCTGCAGTGGCTGGTAATGGCTTCATAGGTTGTGTCTTAACCCTTGCGCCACCAGGGAGGCCCAGGGCTAATTTTAAATTGAACTGCCAGAGATGTGAAACAAGTCCATTCACCCACATCCATTTCTCCCCCCTCAACTGTCATCACTTATCACAGGAAATGCAAGTCAAGATGACAATGAAATACCATCTCACACCTATGAGGTGGCCTGTATAGAAAGGACCAGAAGCAGCAAGTGCTGGTGACGATGTGGAGAAAAGGGAACATTCCTTCTGCTGGTGGGAATGCAAACTGGCCCAGCCCTTATGGAAAGCAGCACAGAGGTGTCTCAAAACATTAAATATGGATCTGCCATTTGGCCCAATAATTGCACTCATAGGTATCTACTCCCCCAAAATAAAAAACCACTAATTTTAAAGGAAACTTGCACTCCCATGTTTATGGAGTGCTGTTTATAATAGCCAAGTTATGGAAACAACCTAAGTGCCCAAAAACAGATGAGTGAAT